TAGTAGTATAGTACGACTGTTGGATAACTTTGGAAAGTCAAGTGTCTAATCCTAGACTAGGATTCCTAGTGAAAGGCAAACAAAGAAAGAAAGGAAAAAAAGAGAGAGAGAATTTGATTAAGATTCAAAAGGAACAATATAAAGTGTTAAACAAGAAGATGATATCCTTTCCTTCAAATAATGATACTGGCGATACAACCTTTCGGAACAAAATTAAGGATTGTACATCTTGTAAGCCATTGTAAGAATAACAACAACAAATTAAAGAAGTAGATCCCAAAACCAAAAAGATAGCAAGCTAAATCTGCAAAACGCATCACGCAGAAGCTTCATTACAAAATAAGTTTTCTCATTATTTAAAACTAATTGAAGAGTGAAGACTACAATCAGTCAACACTAATGTAATAAAAAAAAAACATTATTGAGCTTTTTGGTCATTAAGTTATTTCATTTATACATTTTGATTTTTGTAATATTTCACAGCTTATTATTGATGATAATCGGAATGCTTTCGATCTATGTATTAGTCTCAAATATATACTAACGTATTTAACCAAAGTGTTGTCCTCTCTCGGATAAATAAAGATAACTATATATATCGATGTGCATCTTATATATTGCTTTGTCAATATATCGCAATGGCATATTGGCATAGTAAACTTGTATCCCATTTTTATCCCAAATAACAAACTTGTATTCCATTATATGCATAAGAATATATGTGGTTATAATTAGCTGGAAGTGTAATTACTTGGATGGACCATTTCGCAATTGGCTCTAACCTTTTAAAATAGGGTTTTAGACTTTTGAAATCAAATTATAGTCCCTCTCACATATAGGCACGCCAAAAGCTCTCTTATGTGTGTTTTAAAATTAAAATTAATATCGAAAGCTTTAGACTTTTCGTAAAAAAACGACAACTAACGTTTCTCGTGATGCATGATTAGTTTAATATCATGGCCTTTGTTTTGAACGTATTTTATTAATTGGATTATAAACTACAAGATAAACATGCATGCACAAACCTCCTCTTGTATCATCTTATCACATTAAAACTCAAAAATAAGAAAACCCCAATGTTAGAAAACAAAAAGAAACCCTGAACTCATCCGACAGTGGCAGTAATTGTTAGGAATTTTGGGAATAAGTCAATTTTTTATTTGGGAATATTTATTTTTATGTTTCGTAAGAAAAATATAATAACTAAATAAGAGACACAAAACAAAAGAAGAAGATGAGCTGGGAAGCACGTGTGAAGGAGAGAGAAGCACGTGCAACAAAGACAGTGCAGGGTTGACCGGAGACCGTAGGGTCGCGATAAGTGGGAGACGCACTGTCCCCTACACACGCCCTTTACGACACCGTTTTCGCCTTTATGAAAAACCTACAAATATTTCTTATTTGAAATGAGTGAATAACTCCATCAGCTACACTCATGCCAAATGCTAAAGTTTTGTTGATTATAGTAAAATCCAAAACCATTCGTATCATATTATATGATTTAGAGTTGGAAAAAAAAAGATATAGCAAAAAAGTATTATAAGTATAATAAAAGAAATATTAATAATGGACCAACCTCTTTTGTAATTGTTGGGTACCTAGATTGGACCAAGCTGGACCCAATTTTAAACACCCATGTCCTCACTGTTCATTAAGATTCTTTGACCTTTTGACTCACTCAATTTTTGGTTGCAAGTCTTCAGTTTATAATGCCAATCAAGAACTAAATCGTTTCGTAATGTTTGGATGTAACTGGCGGAATTTAATACTGCTTGACATATAATACCGAAATGGATTTTTAATTTAAAATGAATTTACGAATGAATAAATTGAAAAAAAAAAATTCGTATATATCATCGTGTAGGTTCCTGACGTGAGATTTTAATTCTCTGCTATTTTGAAGCTCGGTTGACTAATATGTTTTCTTTAAAACGAATTGGTGATTTTGCTATATAAAACATATACACACGGTCGTGGGAGCTCTACTATTTTTAGTGCATCTCCTTCCCAATTATTAGTTTGGTACATGCATGCCATGTAATTTTGTTGAGTTTGATTGGTTAATTGGCGTTTAGTATTGTAAACAGTGTTATTTTTATAAATTAGACTTTTCATTTTTTAATAAATATAAAACTTATACAGTAACCTTTTTATTTACTATTCTTTCTCTTTGAAATCCGATTTTTCTTTCTTATTTCTAAGTTACAGCCTAAATAAACATCGACAGTATAAGTTTTATTACATCAAAAGTCTATTTATGTTTATCGACAATATAAAATTTAGTCGCAAATGAGGTGGACATAGGCAAGAGACAATAATCATAAACTTTTGTAGTTGTTCCCATGAGGCAAAGCCAATGGACAGGCAGATTCTAGTTCTTCTCTTCTTCACTCATTTTAATTTAAGTAAATCAATTGACAAAAGAATACAAACAAGAGAAATAGAAAGAAAACAGACAATAATACGGTCCACGTCCATGGATCTTATCCCTCATCCCGAATTTATTTGATTTCGATATTATTGTCTTAGAATATTTGTCTTCATTCGATAATTTATTTCTCTCGAATGATTCTGGAAATTCTTGTACTTCCCGACATTACATTTGCGCAGAAGCGAATTAAACTCCAACAAAAGTTACAGTCTGGATTTTTGTCTTCATTTTAATGATTTATCATGCATATATCATATTGTTGACAACAAAAGAAGCATATTATACAAAACCAATAAAAATATTCACATGAAGTGTACCAAGTATCAATGCATGTCCTGATTAGCTTCTAATTAGTCTAGAATGTTGTTAGTTGTTACTAATGCTATTGCTAGCTTCATGATGTAGCGGCCAGTTTTATTTAAATTGATCTTTTTAGATGTCAATATTGTCAAAGTCTAGACAAAAGTAACTTTTGAAGTTTTAATCCTTAAATTAAGAGCTAAACATTGACCTATTTGAGGAATGACTGTTTTAATAAGGTATTGTTTTTGGGAAAAGGTAAAAACAGGATATAAAAGAGAGATTTCGTTCGACGACGTAAATTTGCAAACAGTCAAAAGATTTTCCATAAAAGACAAAACAGTCAAACTATTTATTTGGTCTTGTTATGATCCATTTTGGTTATATCATTACAGGCTTGATGTAACAGAAGTAAGTGGTAGCTGTCTTGTGGGTCCCAATTTCGTTCCCAGTCTTTCGCATTTTAGTTTGACCAAATTTATTGATTTTATAAATAAAATACAACACACGATTGATATTTGGTTATTTTGATATAAAAATGGTCGATAATAATAAATTCGGTGGTTGTGAACTTGCGGTTACTGAATACAACTGGTGTCGTGATAAGATTATTGATTATGATTATGAATATAGAGATATCTGTTTATTGAAACCGAAATCATATACTATACTTGATTATCGATCGATGCCTTAAACTTCACTTCTAAGCTTGGATATTTCGGTCCAACTACTTTTTTTGTTTACCCCCAAAATGAGTGAATTTTCTCAACTATATGTATGAAAAAAATCAGAGATTGGGACATGAAGCTGTGAGTAATGCAAACAGAACAATCTGTAGTGGTGAGAAGTGGTTAAAAGCTTATCACTATATGAGGAAACTAGGGTTTAGGTTTGGATCCTTATAGTACAATTTTCTGTCATGGTTGGTTACAATAGATGCCACTATTAAGAATATCAATAAATTTATATGCAGTATACAGTAAAAATTCTATAAATTAATAATGTTGAAACTTTGATATTTTATTAATTTATAGAGTTATTTATTTATCAGTTTTAGATAAAATAATTTTTATTAATTAATTAAAAATAATATTTTCTTTAAAATTTATAATATTTTTTTAAAAAATTTATTATAAAATTGAATATAAATGATAAAAATGTTTTAATTTTAACATAAAAAGCAACAATATACTCATATTTTAATAGATTATTATAAGTATATAAAATTATTTTATATGATATTTATTAATTTATGATTCTAATGGACTATATTTTATATAGTTTTTAAAAAATTTATAATTTTATTAATTTATCAATTTATATTAAATTTTAAACCGGCCTAACTCAAAACCGAGTAAAATTATTGATTTATCAAGTTTATTAATTTATAAAATATTAATTTATAAAGTTTCTACTTTATATAGTTTACTTTGGTATTTGGTGTGAAATCTTTTGGTTATATAAAAAAACAAATGATATAAACGGAAGAAATCCTATCAGTTTTAATGAAGAACTAAACAAGGGATTAAAACCTACTCTTATTTTACTTTCAGACCTCAACAAAATGAAGACACCATTTAACAATTCTGTGTATGATAGTAAAAGTTAATGAAATCTAGCAAAAGAGGCAAAAAACTAGATTATCTTCTACATACACAATCTTATGTTTTTGATATTGAGTTTTATGAAGATTGTTAATTTACATTACAAAATATTTAAAAATTGATTGTTATAATCATTTTATTTAGTTATCTATAAATTTTGCTTGATTTAACTCAGTCTTTCCAAAATCGAACAAAAAAAAAAACAAAATCAATTTGTTTATTTCGCAAACATCTTTCGTTGGTTTATTAATCTTAATCAATATTTAGTAATAAAAAACATAGAACATAAATCTTTATAATCATATAAATAAGTAATCAATTTTTATTAAACGGAGGACTATATTTTAGAGAGAAAAAAATTTGTATACCAAAAAAATGTTGTTTTTTATTTTTATTTTTTATGCAAAGTTTATAGCATCTTCTAAAACAACTAAAGTTTATGAACCGAACAAAAACTATTTGTAATTTAAATTTGCGCCATATGCAAATTTAAAACATCAAAAACAACTAACTAACAAAATTATAAAAGCCACACGTGTGGCGCATACCCTGCGCAGATAAGGTCCTTCGTCTTCCTTCTCTCAAATTCCAAAAAAATAAACCTCAAAGCTCAGAAGAAGAAGGAAAGAAACACTTACAGTTCAACAAAATTCTTCCAAAAAAAAATGCCGGGGAATTTGGAGCCGTTGGACCTTGGAATCCAAATACCTTACCATTTCAGATGCCCAATCTCTCTCGACCTAATGTCCGATCCAGTAACCGTCTCCACCGGCCAGACTTACGACCGCACCAGCATCGAGTCATGGATCGCCATGGGTAACACCACTTGCCCCGTCACACGCGTCGCTCTCTCCGACTTCACTCTCATCCCTAACCACACTCTCCGCCGTCTAATTCAAGAGTGGTGCGTCGCTAACCGCTCTAACGGCGTCGAACGGATTCCCACGCCGAAACAGCCGGCGGATCCGATTTCCGTTCGTTCTCTCCTCAGCCAAGCCTCCGCAATTTCGGGAACTCACGTCTCTGTTCGCTCACGCGCCGCCGCGATTCGTCGTCTAAGGGGATTGGCTAGAGATAGCGAGAAGAATCGGGTTCTGATCGCTGGTCACAACGCGAGGGAGATTCTCGTGAGAATTTTGTTCGCCGATGTTGACGCCGGACGGGAATTTTCGTCGTCGGAGCTTGTTTCCGAGTCACTCGCTCTCTTGGTTATATTTCATATGACGGGGGAAGAGTGTGAGTCAATTGCGTCGGATCCGGGTCGGGTCGGGTTTATGACCCGGTTGTTGTTCGACTCTTCGATTGAAATCAAGGTAAACGCCGCCGCGTTGATAGAGATGGTGTTGACCGGATCGAAATCGACGGATCTGAAAGTGATAATCTCCGGATCGGATTCGATTTTCGAAGGCGTTCTCGACCTTCTCAAAAACCCGATTTCGTCACGGCGAGCTCTGAAGATCGGAATCAAAGCGCTTTTCGCTCTCTGCCTCGTGAAACAAACGCGACACCTCGCGATCTCCGCCGGAGCTCCGGGGATTCTAATCGACCGTCTCGCGGCGGATTTCGACAGGTGCGATACGGAGCGGGGGTTAGCGACGGTTGAGCTTCTTTGCCGGCTACCGGAAGGTTGCTCGGCTTTCGGAGAGCACGCATTGACGGTGCCGCTTATGGTGAAGACGATCTTAAGAGTGTCGGATAGAGCGACGGAGTACGCGGCGGGAGCGTTGCTGGCACTTTGCACGGCGGAGGAACGGTGTAGAGACGAGGCTGCGGCGGCGGGATTGGTGACGCAGTTGCTGCTTCTGGTGCAGAGCGATTGTACGGAAAGAGCAAAGAGGAAAGCTCAGATGCTTTTGAAGCTTCTCAGAGACTCTTGGCCGGACGATACAATTGTCAACTCCGACGATTTCGGTCGTAGCGAAGTGGTGCCGTTTTGAATTTTCTTTTTTCTTTTTCAAACAACTTATTTAATTCTTTCGTTAGAAATTTTTAAAGTAGTTCTTTAAATCTTAATTATGTAATTAATTTTTAATACAAAAAGATTAATTTTTCATTAGTCTCTTTCTTGTTAATTATTTTTCTTAACAAAAAGATATCGAGAGCGCGTTGCGTAAATGGTTTTCTCCTACGCCTTGTTTTTTGCTTTTCAGAAACATCTATTATTTTGCAGCATAACTTTCACATAGATAAAATTGTGGTTAGCCAATAAAAGCAAACGTAAACACTCTTCAGTTTCTTTCCATTGAAAACCAGAAGAGTAAAGAAAATTTATGCTTATTTTGTTTGTAGCTATGAAGTTTATCTCAATTATGGTGTTTGTTCACGCATGTTTGTGATATCTAATTTAGATCATACTAAGAGATTGGTCTGTACGCATGTGCAGGCATGAACAGTTTTAAAAATATAATTATCTAAATATAATATTTAAATCCGTCTTAAATATTTTAATTTTTTGTAATATATGAAATTTAAGGTCAATGTTGAATTATAAAGCTTTAAATTTAATAGTAAAATATGATCTAATTATAAATAAATATTTTGTTATAATAAAATGTTTAGTTATATTTTGAGACAGATCTAAAAAATAATAATTAAATTTAAAAAACACAAAAATTGTATTTTTTCATAATTGGGCTTTGTAAAACTTAACCGCTATCTTACGAGGTCAAATGGGTACTCAGTTACCTGTTTCAGATTTGCGGATCAAACAAACATACCTGTAAATTTTATCTTTTTGTCTTTTTTTTTGAACAAACGTTTTTCATCTTCATTGTCTTCTTATAATCTTTCTATTTCGCGTTTTTCCTTCAATTTTTAGAAACGATTTTTAGGAACGGTACTAATACCTTCTCCGAATCTTCCTTCTTCTACGACATGAATCCTCCTCTTTGTCTGATTTATTTTGCGCGTTCGTTGATGGAAACGCGACAATTAGTTCTTATAATTAGCTGCTGTTATTAGATCTGTGTATTACCTGAAAGCGACCTCGTTTGAATAGAGAGTAATAGTCATGAGTTATGTATTTCAAGTAAAACCATATGCTGCTTCTTGTTAGAGATTTATAAATCGTATTCTTCTGTTAGAAATCTGAAATTGACTGCGTAATTAGATAAACTCCTATTTCAATTTCGATGTTTGCTAGTCACCCTCGTGGAATTTTTTTAGGAATTAGGTTTTTTTTTGTTTGTGTTACTGTTCATGAATTTTAAGAATCGGTTTATAATTGGATGAAACGATCATAAGCTGCAACCTCTTTTTACTGGCAAAAATGCTGGTTTCCCCTTTATACTTAAGAAACTGATGTTGAATCCAGTATGATCATTTCAATATAAACTGGATATATGATCATTTCAGTATATAATAGTAGAAGACATAAGAACCTATGGGAGAGTTTGTTAAATAGTTTGGTCAGTGTTTCTATTTCTCTGTTTCTCCTCGATCATAGAGTCTACAAGATTTTCTATTTGGTAAACTTAATCTTCTTTCATTGTTTTAAATCCAATAATTATTTTCTAGAAAGCTTCATCTTTACTTTTATTTTGTTTCTTACTCTGTCTATTTTTTTGATCGGAAGGTTATCGTCTTTCTTGTTCTAATTTATATTAACAATTAAATATTTTATGTTTTTCTGTTTTCATAAAAAAATTATTTGAACTAAAATAGATTAAACACAGAAACATTTTTTTCCATGTCATAATCCACATGTGCTTGCGTATGCCAATTCACAATTACATCATTATTACACATCATCATTTCCATGTTACATTTAATTAGGTTAGATTAATATTTTAACTAATTAATTAAAACAAATAAACACAATTCAGTAAACTACATTATCAATTAATAGGTAGGAGATGTAGCTTCTAAGATCAGTGCCGTCCCAAACTTTTGAGAGGCTTAAAACATTTCAAAGAAATGTGGTTTTTATATTATAATAAAACCAAAAATATAAAGTAATGTTAAAAATACTTAAAATAATAAAAATATTATATAGTAATTATATTCTAATTATGAAAAATAGATCTTCTGGCTTTCATTTTAATTTTAATTCAATTCAACATTTCTGTATTATTATAATTATTGATTATTTATCAACTAGTCAATAATTTGAGATCCAGTCATCTAATCTACAAAAAAATATAGAATTAGAAGAAAAAAATATCTGAACTGTCAAAATAAAAACTTAAACATTATGAATCAGATGTAGATGCAAGCGAATGAAATTTTTTGAACGATTTAATGAAAAATTATATTTCCACAAAAAGCAATAAACGCTTTGGTAATGGCATTAGCAAAAAGGATTTTTTGCATCAAAAAAAGGCTAAAGTTTCTTCTAATTTGGTGCTGACAGTAAAAAGAAAATAAGAAAAATGGAAAACTTTCTAATAAAAAAAATAATAAGTAGAAAGAGCTATTTATCTACAATAATCTTATTAAATAGAGTATTTACTAGAATAACATCCTCCTACAACTGACTTACTACAATAACCTCACAAAGTTGGGCAAAGACATAAAATTCTAAATTTTCAACATAATAACGAAAATGCTATTAAAAAAAGCTATTTTCGTAATAAAATAAATAAATAAATAAAATGAAGAAAATAAATAAAAAGGAATTTGTTGTCCGATAATGAAAGTGAAACAGAAAAAAAAAACAAAGAGGTTAAAACCTAAAAAAAAAAAAGAAGACGGCGTCGTAGGCGACAGATCGGAGGATTCCGGCTGCTTTGTAGGCGACAGATCGGAGGCGGCGTCATAGGCGACGGATCGGATCGGTGCGAAGCGTCGGCGGTGTCGTAGGCGACGGATTGGCTCGGTGCGCAACGTCGGCGGAGCAAAGGTCATCGGCGGAGCAAAGGTACCGGGATTTTTAGTTTAATTTTTCGGCAGTTCTAACTTTGAGCTTCAAATCTAAGACCGTATTCGTTTATTGCAGAAAACTGTTTATCGGGATTGTTTAGATCCGCCACCGAAATTTTTTTTGCCTCTCTGTTGAAAATTGTTTAGATCCGCCGCCGGAAAATTGTTTTGCAGAAAACTGTTTATCGAGAAAGCTAAGGTCCGCCGGCGGCTATTTTTTTTTTGTTACAAAATTGCTTTGTTTATCGGGATTTTATGAGACAACTAATTGTTACTTATCCTTTTTTTATACAGATCTATCGGAGCTCAAGCTTGGATTGGTACAAAGTTGACCGGTGAAAACAGTCCGCTCGCCTGAGAAGATTATTCCGGTGAGGATTTACAGAGCCGTTATGGTAGATTTTTAATATATGTCGGGGTAATGGTGGTAGATTTATTCGATATATGGTATATAGTGGTGGTAGATTTGTTTATGGCTTAGTTTTTGTTGGTATTAAGAATGGTCATGGTGGTAGATTTGTTTGATAGTGATGGTAGATTTGTTTGATATATATAGTGGTGGTAAATTTGTTTATGGCTTAGTTTTTGTTGGTATTAACGATGGTCATGGTGGTAGATTTGTTTGATAGTTGTGGTAGATTTGTTTGGTAGCCTAGCTTTGTTGTGGTAGATTTGTTTGATAGCTATTGGTGATTTGTTTGATTTGTTTGAGAGGATGATTTGTTAGATTTGTTTGGCATCGATAGCTTGTGGTAGATTTGTTTGTCATCGTATGTATTGGATGTATTGGTAGTAATTTTGTTTCATAGATGTATTGATTGATATATATATATGTTAAATTTTTGCAGGTTATATGGCATCTTCAAAGGATAAAAGGGGGCGAAAGCAGAAGTACCCACCGAGATTGTTTCCGCCTGGAAAATCTCCTGTGCAAAAGAGAAGCTTGAATCATTATTGTCATTTGTCGGACTTTGGGTTGCTGGTTGAGGGTGTTGGAGAGGATGTGATGTTGAAGATTGCCAAGAAGCGTTACATATGGGCTGCGGGTACGGTCCATAACTTCATAACAAACCAATTGGCGGTGCAAAGGAGTTACGAAATCTGGTCACTTATTGGTGGGCGTCCATTGCAGTTTTCGCTTCACGAGTTTCTTGATATCACTGGCCTAAATTGTGAGCCATTTGCTGATGATGAGTGGGACATTGATCATAGAGAGTTATGGGAAGAGATGGGTGTGAGTACAGGAGTCGGGCCTAATTGGCATGAGTTGGTTGCTGTTTTTGAAATATGCAGTACATGGTCATCCGCGAAGAAGAAGATGGTTGGCTTGCTATTCACATTGCACGTAGCCATATTTGGTATTCATCGCAATTCGCGGATCCCTTTGGATTGTGCTAAAAGAGTGTTGGATGAGGCAGCTTTTGAGAGGTATCCGTGGGGTCGTGTCAGCTTTAAGCAGCTAATTTCGTCAGTTAAAATTGCATCGTTGGGAGGACTTAGCTACACGTTCCAAGGATGTGTCCACGCCCTTCTCATTTGGGCATATGAGTCCGTGGCTACATTGGGTGAAAAGTTTGGGAGACTAGAAAATAATCCCGAGTTATTTCCGTGTCCTCTACTTCGATGGAAATCGTGCAGAGATCGGTACAATTTAGAGAAAGTGTTGGAGGAGGAAGTACGTACGCAGCCTAACAACAAGGTATGTTCACTTATATTGTGGAAACTTGTAGGTTTATGTGATATTAGACTAGTTTTGTTTACTTCAGTTGATTGTAGATTAGGTGAAGAATCATCATGGTAGATTTGTTTGCTTCAGTTATGGTAGACTTGTTTGCTCGAGTTGTGTTATGGTAGACTTGTTTGGTTATCGAGTTATGTTATGGTAGACTTGTTTGCTTATCGAGTTATGTTATGGTAGACTTGTTTTCTTGCGGTAGACTTGTTTGCTTATCGAGTTATGTGATGGTAGACTTGTTTGGTTATTGTAATATGGTTACGGTAGACTTGTTAGCTGATATAGTTGTTTGGTAATATTGCAGATTCGGGTTAGGCATCTATTGGAGGTTTCACGGGAGGA